AGATATCATTCACAGGAGTTTTACTTTAAATGAATGGTAACAAATTGCACTTACATGGAACACTGTCATCCTCACTGGTAGACATCGATGTTTCGCCGTAAGACACTTGCCTTAGGGCTCTTCAGTACAGATCTGGATAACATTATAGAAAATACACACAATTCATTCATTTAGTTACGATTTTTCATGTCACGGAATAATTTTGATATACTTGTCATCGATGACATCGTAATGACATTCATTCACCTATTTGAATAAATCCCAGCCAAAAGTAATCATTTGAAATGAAGGGGTTATATTTTTAGGAGTGATTAATTTTTGGGAAAGAAAGTTTTTGGCTTTCCACTACTCCATCTTGATACAAAGAATCTGGGAATCTTCCAAGATGGAGTAGTAGAAAGCCAAAAACTTTTTTCACAAAAATTATTCAGTCCTAAAAATATAACCCCTTCAATGCAAATAAGAGAAAATACCTTTTGAATGATGTATCAGTCGACCCCCATGCCATTGAAAAAAATAGGGGAGTTGTTGGTGACCCCGCAGGGAGGTGAAGTTTCAGATATGATTTCCATTACAGAATTAATCCCGCTAGAAATAAAATTTGACATGTTCTTTGAAATTTTCCATTATACGTCCGCTTATGACTTACAGGCGGGTCAAATTTTCGTTGGAACGCCCTGTATGTTTTTAGGCGATGGAAGTCGAAACTCCTAACACTCATGATGAAAAATATCTTTAATTATTCCATTTGCTTCAATTGTGTTCCTGAATTCAGATTATTATTGGAGAGATTACGATGGTAGAATACCGGTGGACGCCATTCCTGCCGGTAATAATACAGATGGATTATCCTACATCGGACAAGCATACATTCACCACTATGGCCTGCTTCTGGGTACAATAATTCCACCTGCTATGGAAATGAAAATTCCCTGCTATGGAGTCGTAGTAACCAATATCATCATTAAAGTGAGTTTTTCATGTTCCATTGCAAAACATTTGCATAATGAGTTATTTACCGAATTTTGGAATTTTTAGAGGAAAAGGGGGTAATGGGAGTGACTTGAGCAAGATACAGAATGAAACACACAATTTTCACTTCATATTCATTCCAATCAACTTTTAAAGTATTTCAATTATCACACTATCAGTCTCAGACAGTTTCTTTACCTTTGGAACTAATTAACATCAAACTTTAAAATATTTGACCGCCATAGTTGACCACCATTGTCCATATCTGAGGGTAATTATATTCTCTATGAGAATAATGAGAGTCACCCTAGCCTAACAATTGTCACATGTGTAACCTTTCGGCGATTTCGATCCTGTATAACTAGCGTGTGCCCATAAGCCACAAGAAGTGCATCTGTACCATAACTTATTTTTGCGACCAAATTCATCACATGCCAAACATTTATTCAAATCGTCTGCTTCATCATCGTTACATATCTAATTGAGACTAATATCTGATTCTGAAGAAGTGCTTAGATCTTGAAATACGCGCCTTTTAACCTCATTCGCAATATCTTTCTTAGGTGTCTGCTTCTTGCTAGCTTCTTGCTCCTTTTTCTCCTTTTGTTGCTCTAGATGTACTTTTATTTTCTTTTTCAACAAAACTATCCTTGACGGGTGTTGTTGACATAATTTTTGCATGTTGTTTCCTTCGTCCTTTTCTCATGGGAATCATTTTGATAGTTGATGTAAGCAGATCTTCAATATTGGAATTCAATATTCCAGGAGCTAACGTTGACAATGAAGTCAACAGCGATGGATGTTATTGGTGGCATATGATGTATTTCTGCAGACGATGTAGATGGTGTTGAAATTCGTTGTAACCGATGAATAACATGACATTGGATGTATTGTTGCAGATNTCAAGCAAAAAACCTGAAATGAAATAATAGTGAAATAAAATACAAGTAGAAATGGAACAAATTGAGCAAAAAATAAATAAAATAAATTTAAAAAGTTAAACGTTTCGATTGTTAGTATCCACAATCGTCTTCTGGTGATAACTGGACCGATTCCTCGGCGAACTGACTATTTATAGGTCAGTTGAGTACTTACATTTATCTCTGCTTTCCTTTTTTGGCTTCACTGGTTTAGTGGGAGATGACCGTTTGGCGTGAGTTAGCCATTTTTCGCTTGATTATGGGTTTTCATATGTTGTGTATCTCAACGCTAGCTTGGCTGAATACATTATTGGATAACATGTATGCATCTTCTTTGAATTTCCTCCTAAACCAATGTTCCTCATTGTGTATGATCTCAGTTCGAGACCATTCGATGTTATGTTGACGCTTTCCTTATTTGAATCGATGTGATTGCATAAAAAATAGAACTATTTTATCCGGTCTGACAAAACCTTTCCGACATCTGCTGTGAATACAGGAAGTCGTCCGAAGCGTGATTCCGATAAATTGTTCTTCTTTAACCGATTTTGGATGTTTAAAGAAGGTTATATTCATAGCTTCAGCAGCACTTCTCACGTTTTATAGTTATAGAAATAACATATGGATTCGGTTTCCGAGAAAATACCCGCAATTTGAATTTTTTATATGGACCGTAAAAAGGAATCACTTGATATGAATTACTTTTTTGGAGGAGAACCTGGATATATGACAATGATTGAAATTTTCCAAATTTCGAATTGCTATTTAAATTAGTTATAAAGTTGGTACATTCTTCTTATTTCAACCAACTTGTATCTCCTACGGTTTCCTATTATTCCATGCTGCCCCTCTTCATCTTGGGCACACTCTATACATCTGATCTACTCGACACTGAAATTTTGTCTCTATTGTTTTCGATTCCACTCAATTCATTATTCGTTTCGTAAGTACGCTCAAGTATGCCTTGAAATATCGGTTATATCATTGATGGGTACAACAAAATTGGTCAATGTCCTGTGACGCTTAACNAAGGAGAATTGAAATTAATGTTCGAAGCAAACAGATTTTTCGTTGATAACCCTTGTCATCGAACAATTTTTTAAATTTATTTCACACACCATCCACCGTACTCTCATTCTTTATATGCACGTATGAAGAGGAGTCGATACCTATCACGAGTTTGGCTTAAGCTTTCTTCGTCTCAGCATCACTGGTAGGTTTTCCAAATCAACTCCCTCTAGCAGCAAAAAATTGCTCCTAATTTTCTTGACCTTTGAGTTTCTTCACATTGACCAGGTAACCTGACGTCGACATTGTTTTGCAAATCAGTCATTGTTCACTGTGGTTCTGGCGTTGAATCTGGTCATTATTACGCCTTGGTCAAAGAGGAAACGGACTGGTTTAAGTTTGACTATAGTCGTGTCACTAAGTGTTCTGGCGACGTATTGAATTGTTTTATGAGAGAGAGGACATTGGCAGATGAAGATTTTCAGATGATGTGGTGCTGCAGGTTTTTCCGGGTTTTCCTGCAGCTGAAAAAGCGCTACTGGAATCGATGAAGTCGCCCCGGAGCGCCAATTAATTTTTGTTGTTGATTTGTAATTTCATGATTTGTATTAATATTTGAAAACTTGTAAAGGAAATAATATTAATGATATTATTCGAAACAAAAAATTGTAAGTTGATGAGAGAAATGCCGTTTTTGTCACCACTGGGAAAATGAAAATGACTATTTTGTTTCACCTTGCAGTGGAGTGCGTTAAAATACTCCTGCTGGGTGGATTTTTAATTGACGCCTCATTATCTCTTCATTGAAAACCTCATCATGGTAATGGGGAGCTTGGCCGTTATGAACCTACTCATCCTAGCTACTCCTGAAACCTCTCATAGACCATGAAGAAACAATAACACCGAATATGAGTATACAGTGAAGATGAAAATCAACTAAACGATCCCAATTATTCCTCTCATAATACAGGATCAAGAGGAAGAACTACTCAGAACTCCGGCTCTTGAGACAAATTTGCAGATGAGAGAGAAAGAGCTACTCAGTTCCCTGGCTCTTGACTCAAATTTGCAAAGATGAGATTGAAGTTGATCAAATGATCACAAAAATACTTCCTGTGACATCGGATCAAGAGCAGGAGTTCCTCAGTTCTCGAAATCTTGAACAAACCTTGCAGGCTAGGTGGTACGATCAGAAAGCGACTCACTGTCTCCTTGAGAGCAGGATATTTGTTGAATCTGCCATACATCATATTCTTAGAAGTAGTAGCAGGAGCAGAAGAAGTAGAAGCAGAATCTGCAACAGATTTTCGAGCAAGTCCTGTAAATAACCGCTGTCAACAGAAGAGATGAACGTCAACTGAATGACTACAACTCTCCTTTTCGTTGCAAATAATAAAAAAAAGAACTATTCAGTTCCCCATATTTTGAGCCGAGTTTACAGAGGAGATTGAGGTTTTCCGATTTTCCTATAACACTAGATAAAGTGTGGAAGTTTCTCAGTTCTACAACTTTTGAATAAACCTGAGGAGTTCTCTAGATTGAGGAAAATGTACCGTGGCTCGAAACCTTGGAGGAGAGTATTTTTCATTTGGAAATTCAGGCTCTGGTAGCAGAGCACGTATGTTGTTTCTGCCCTACTATGAATCGAATCAGTCTTTCAGCGTTTGGCAGAGTCCCACTACTAGGAAGAAGCTGACCTGGAAGATAACTCATCAAATGAATGAATCGGTCCCGGTTAAAAGCTGGATTCATTTGGTCTAGTTATCTAGTTGATTGATTGATAAATTTCATCTTTCCTACATAACTTGCCTATTTCTCCCTTCACAAAACAATGATCGTTTACGTTTATAACTGCAATACTTCATTCTATCTACTGATCAAATATAACGTAAAAGTTTTTCCATGAAAAAATTTAGAAAATCCATTTGACGACTGATAAGAATATACAAAANGCAACTTCAACTCCGTCTTTTCTGACAGGACGGAATACTTCATGCTTCAAGTTCAAAACTTATCCGTTAACTGTTCAACGTATTGATGGCTAATATTGTCGTCTGAATCATTCATTTTATAAATTCTTGCAGCAACTTTAACACATTCATTATTTCCATAATACTTTGCAACAATTTCTATTCTTTCTTCAGTAGAATAAATCATGTTGGAATACAGTAAAAAAGGATGACTGCATAATAATTCGTGAAGAAGTGACAGTGGCCAACTATCCAATGTTTCTTCTGCGACAACAAGATTCAACAAAAACTACCAGTGCAAAAAAAACTGACAGTGTCATCCATTTCAAAACGTTTACTACTAACTAAATGAATTCTACAAATCTAGAAGACCTCCGACATCTTCATTAATGTAAGGAACGCTTTCCAAAGCAGACTCTATCATTGTATGGAATTAGATGAAGGCCTTTCTGAACACTTCATCCGTTAATTGATATTACTTTTGTTGATTTCCTCGATATAATGAGCTACAGCGAATTCTCTGTTTTTTCTTCAATAAAACGTTCAACAGTTAATTCCTCAATAACGAATTGATCAATTTCGAAAAAAAATACAGTAGTAATAGAGAGAGAAAATACTTTTTGGGAAAGAGAGTTTTTGGCTTTCTACTATTCCATCTTGATACAAAAAATGTGGGAATCTTCCAAAGAAAGAAAGGAAGTAATCAATTTGAAAATGAGTAACTCTATACATGGATGTGTAGATCTTGCAAAGAAGCAACTTTCAGACACAAACTGGAAGAAAGCCCTCCTGAAACAGCTACTTTCATATTAACATTGAATTACACGAGAGAAAAAAATTCTTTCGAAACAAATAGTTTCATATGAACACTGAGTTATACAGAAGATACTTTTCTTTACTCAGTTTGTATTCCAAACATTCATTATGGAATAAAATTAGATATCATTCACAGGAGTTTTACTTTAAATGAATGGTAACAAATTGCACTTACATGGAACACTGTCATCCTCACTGGTAGACATCGATGTTTCGCCATAAGACTGTTCAGTTCGATGTTCCTTAGAGGCGTGATTTTTAGTTTTTTAAACTATATGTATTTACTAATTTTATTTGTAACTATCGTTACCGTAGTTTCGTCCTATATGGACATTTTCAAACTAATATAATAAAACAGTTTTATTGTATTTTCATGATGATTTTTTACTACGTCAATCAATTCATTTATTGAATGTTTGTCATGTTATGTCTTGATCTTCTCAAGTATCTACTTAAGGAGAACCCAAACGCAAAAAACTATATACGTCATAATTTGAGGCTCCTATTCTATCATATCGCCAATTTTCTATGTGTTTTCCAAAAATTAGGAATCCACAATAATTTTGGGCTCATTACATGCTCATATTCTTCCTAACGCCGATTTTCCATGTGTTGTTAAAAAAAAATTACGATTCTGCCGGCTGTGTGTGCATTAGGTAGTCGAGTAATAGTCAATGGGCTTGTTTTATGATTTTTGGTGTACAGTTCATTTGGTAGTAATTTCAAATTGAAAAATAGTGTACTTTGTTTCAGCTCCCTAAATAGCGTTGTTTTCCCGTAATTAATTATCAAAAATTGGATTTTCTAGGCTCGTGACGTCACGGGCCTAGTCCCGCTTCTTGTTCGATTGACCAATAGGAACAATNGGAAGTTCATGATACCATAGCCTGTATATGTAACGATAGAATATGCTCTACTTAATATAGCCGCCACATCATATGGAGTTATTTTCTCTGTCAGGAGTTTTTATAAAATAAATCGCACTCTTTTTCGTAAATAGCTTTGAGAGAACCAAAAAATGTGAGATTCAATGGCTGCATCCCGTGGGAGGTATGTGGAGTATCAGCATATGCTTATTATTTTCTGAAGAAATGAACTTTGAACGTTCAAGCCAGTCTCGAATATACCTTCACAGTAGGTTAAATGGACTGACGACTATCAGAAAACAACTACCCCCTTGGCTAATACCACGAAGAGCGTTGGATTATATCCGACAGGCGTCAGTGCAGGAATCTTCACAGAAAATGTCCTGCATATGCAATTGGCAATACAATTGAAAGAGTCGAGCTTCAATTTTGGAACGGGCACACTTGCAGACCGATTTCGGGCTCATTAGCCACTCATCAGTGCAAGATAGTTGCCATCATCGACCTAAAGTCAATGATATTCCATAATTGAAAATCGGAATTCTTTCAGAGTATTTCATTCCTCTTCCTAAGTTGGAACGAACAACAAAATGTCACTTCATCTAGTGGACGAGGTATAAGACAGGGGAGTAGTTCTTTTCTGATAGGCGTCAGTCCATTCAATTTACTGTGTAGGTATATGCGAGACTGGCTTAAACGTTTAAAGTTCATTTCTTTAGATTTGTTTACTGCCAGTCTTCAAGCATAGTCAACTGAGTAATAAGAGAGATTATTATTCTGTTTACGAAAATCTGATTGTCAAGTATTAATAAAACAGGCGCATATGACGATGGATTGGTATACATGGCAAAGTGTTGCAACCATTCAATGAATAGATGTTCAATAATCCAACCATTATTTGAACATTTGTATATAGCTCCTGCAGGACCGTCTTCCTCAAGCTGAGGAGTCATTTTTTTCACGGGAAGATTAGCATTGGTGGCACAAAACTACTAGCAGCGCTCATGGCACACAAGTGTGTTATATTTTTTCCTCTTTCACAACTTGTTATGGAGCCAACTCTTTTCATGCCTTTGGGAGCTAATATTTTTTCTCAGGATCTTGCATTGTGGAAACACCTGCCATGTCGTAGTTATAAATATTAGGAGTGAATTTATATTTGTTTGAAGGTGATTGACTAATATTTCATGATGAATTTCATTAGTTCAGACTTCCATTGTATGGCATTAAAAATGATCTGAAATCCCTGAAAGAACTAAAAAAAATGGATTAGAAATGAATAGCTAAAAAAAC